ATTTAGACGTATATTCTAACATTTATAAATACACAAAATGATATGTATTGTGAATAAAGCTAAATTTTGATCAAACATAAATATATTTTATNTTTGTTATTTTTTATTTNTNCCATCTATTAAAAATAATCATGAATTTTTGTTTTTAAATATTTTAATACCGCTTTTGACTTGGATAAAAAAATCTAGTATTATTGAAAAGAAAATAAGATATTTTCAAATATTTTCTATATTCCTTAAATAAAATTTTCTATATTAATTACCATATATTTGTTATTAAGAATTTTTAATAATTTTGACTAATTTTTATTAGGAAATGAATTCCTTAAAACCCTCTTAGGATGACACCTAGGATTTTCACCTAGTGTCTCCTCTATTAATATATAGAGGATATAGACAATCCGGTTATATACATTAATACAGACAAGGTGTATAAGTATAACTGTGGTGAGACATAAACTCGAAGGATTTGATTTCTTTTTCTCTGTTAAAGAAAAGGTCTGCTTGTCTCCATAGATAGGAGAATATTAATGAAGTGAGTGACGTCATCAACGACCACACAGACTAGCCATCCTCAAAAACAGCTACAAGAACAATCGAAACAAGTTAATCATGTGATCAAAGAGAAGGAGGTTACAATGCCATTGAAACTAATAGCTCTTCGAGAAATAGAGACAATTTTAGGGAAACCCTTTGAAGACTTTACACACTAGGTAACGAATTACGTCGAGGTCAATTCGGTATAACCTACACTTGCAATGAGATTTCAACAGGGAACACATACGCTTGCAAATCGATACTAAAGAGGAAACTAACGAGGAAGCAAGACAGAGATGATGTGAAGAGAGAGATTCAGATAATGCAACATTTATCAGGACAAGAGAACATTGTTGAGATCAGAGGTGCTTATGAAGATAGACAATCGATACATCTTGTAATGGAATTGTGTGGTGGTAATGAATTGTTTGATAGGATTATAGCTCAGGGACATTACTCTGAGAGAGCAGCTGCTGGTGTTATTAGATCCATAGTGAATGTTGTGCAGAGTTGTCATTTTATGGGAGTATTAAACCTGAGAATTTCTTGCTTGCTAGTAAAGATGAGAATGCCATGCTTAAAGCTACTGACTTTGGATTGCCTGTCTTCATCGAAGAAGGTAAGTGATATGCAACTTATTCGTGTTATATATAAGTACAAATGTTTTAGGCTGATAATGTTCAAAACAGAGGTTTTCAAGTTTGTGTTAACTAGATAGTTCTTTTTGTTTAGTTAGTTGATAATGTTGTGTTCATACGCTTGAACACATGCGCTTGTTTTTCGGTTCAAACCGAAAAACAAAATTTGCAGGAAAAGTTTACAGAGATATAGTAGGAAGTGCTTACTATGTAGCTCCTGAAGTATTAAGACGAAGCTACGAAAAGGAAATTGATATTTGGAATGCAGGGATTATTTTATACATCTTGCTTTGTGGTGTGCCTCCTTTGCTGGTTAGTAAAAGCTGATAAATTATTTGTTTCGGTTTAACCATTGAGTTAGGTAAGTATA